TTTGGGGTCGCCAAGGCCTACTGCGTATATTGCGAGTAAAGAAATTTTGAATAACATGAAATAATATTATTACAGGCTAACCTAATATTCACGCACGCCGCCAATTTACTGTCAAAAATTTCTCATGCACATACAACTTGTATGGGACCAACTGAAATTGAACGGCGTGCGTATGAAGCTAACTCAATTTCCAATTTTTGTTCTGCGTGACATTTTGATTTGACGTTTCGCTCAATGAAATTAAATGCAAACGCACGCAAGCCAATTTCGTGTGACGCAAAAAAACAAATTCGACGGCGTGCGTACCAAAATGCAAGCCGCGAATATTAGGTTAGCCTGTTATGATTATGATTATTTAAAGTTTATTTATTTATTTGTCTACAGAACTCTTTCTTACAGACTACTGAAATGAAATGAAAGTTTTAAATTGTATCAAATAGGACTTAGTTAAATAAACAAAAAAGATCGAGCTTAAATTGTATAATATTTACACTAAAATCAAGAGCACCACAGTAGCTATTGCGTAATCGAGCACATCGTACGAGAGGTTCATTAAATGAATAATAAGTCTTATTGTTTGACTGAGTAAATAAGCGATTAGTCCTTAAATTATGAGGAGAAATATGACTCTGAAACAGATCAGATAGCTCACAGCAGTTGATATTGCCGATGATGATGTTATATACAAAAATTAATGAGAAATACGCCCTTCTATCGCATAGGGATTGCAGCGCAAGAAATTTGCGGCGCCCTATGTAGTCAATATGGTCAATTGGCCAGTCGATCTTATAGAAAGCCATTTTTGTAAAAACCTTTTGAACTTTTTCAATTTTATTTGCGTGAACCTCATAGTAAAGATTCCATACTAGGTAGCAGTATTCAAGCCGAGATCTGACTAAGGCAACGTAAAGCGACTTCAGAATTTGAGGGTCTTTAAAATCAGAGGAATTTCTTCTGATGAAACCAATCATTGCGAATGCTTTAGACACAATGTAGTCAATATGTCGTGTGAATGAAAGCTTGGTGTCGAAAACAACGCCAAGATCTTTCATCTCGTAGCTACGGCTTATAATACAATTGTTCAAATTGTAACAATAATCAATGAAATTTGGCTTTCTAGTGTAAGTTACAGTGAAATATTTTTTAACATTCAGAAAAAGATTATTTATAGAGCACCATTGTTCGAATGCATGCAGATCGGATTGCAACTTTACGCTATCTGATAAGCTGCGCAGCTCTAGCAGAAGTTATACGTCGTCTGCAAACATCAGACAATTGGCGAACTTGAAATGATTCGGCAAGTCGTTTATAAAAAGAATGAATAGCAGTGGACCACAGTGAGTTCCTTGAGGTATGCCAGACCATGCCTCGACAAAAGTCTTTGATACAGAAGTGCCAATTTTTACGAATAGTTTTCTACCCTTCAGGAAACTAGCGAAGAAATCTAGGAGTTTACCACTTACTCCATAACGCTCCAGCTTATACAACAGTATTGAATGGTCGACCTTATCGAAGGCCTTTGAAAAGTCAGAGTAAATTACATCTAACTGAGCATGGTTTTTAAAAGCATTTATTATTTGGTTAGTAGCTAAGAGCAGGTTAGAGCAGGCCGAACGCCCGGGGACGAAACCATGTTGGCATCTACATATAAGATTGTCTACATGATTAAAGAGTTTTCTTTGGACTATGTTATCGAATAATTTTGCTATGGTACTCTGTTTCACTATAGGTCTATAGTTACAGACATCGTTCCGATCACCTGATTTGTATATGGGTTCAACAGAGCATAGTTTCCATGAGTCCATAAATACACCATGATTTATACATTTTTTGAACAGCAAGGACAAGAGTGGAGCCATAATATCAGCACATATTTTTAAGAAGTGAGAGGAAAATCCCTCACTATCAGTTTTAAAGCTAGATTTTAAATTAGAGATTGCTTGCAACACATCTTCCGCACATATTTCGAAAGAAGTAATGGCTTCCACTGGCAGTGGTGGGAGACTACGAAAAGATTTGGTCTCATACTTTTCGTACACTTTCTGGAAAAATCTTGCAAACAGCTCGCATGACTCTTCAAGCGTCTCAGAAATACTACCCTCATATTCTAAACCGGTTGGGAAGCCAGTTGTTTTCCTTTTTGAGTTAACGTTTTTTTTTATTTTTATTTTTATTTTTATTGTATCTGCCCTGCCTAAGAGCCTAACAATAAGTTTTCGAATCTTAATCTATTCACTTAATTTACATCCCCTAGTTGGGATGAGTATTTTCTTAACTGGCCCTAAGAAAAGATTACGACTGGGCTGGTAAGTCATTCCTACGTAGTCTTGAGGTCCTTTTGACACGCAATAAAGACCTTGCTAAATGATTTGGGTGCGCTAAAAGCTTCGATACATATTTCGTCTTCCGTTGTTCTATTTCGGTTCGTACTTCTGGTATTCTCAAGTCGCGGTGAATGTTCTCATTTCGCATATACCAAGGTGCTCCGGTGATTTTTCGAAGGATTTTAGATTGCGCACGACGAAGGATTTCGACGAAGGTTTCGCCAAGTAAGTCGCCTGTCCAGGTGGACCCCTAGGTAAGTGACATGGTTGCTTTGTGGTATTTGTACGTTGTTTAAAGTCAAGGGCGGACAGTTACTCTTATTCAGTGTA